AAGGACTCATGTTTGTCAAGGGGATTGCTGAAAGACACAAGCTTCTGAAGAGCCACGCCCCTGTGGTAAACCAGAGCCTGGTGTTAATAGTGACTTCCCACCTAAGAAATCCCCTGAGAACCCAGACACCAAGAAGCCCCAGTTCCCTCTAGACAGACATGTTTCACTCTCGCAGATGTTTCAGCTCTGCTTTTGGTGGTTAGTCTCTGCTCATTCCCAGGGTGGTTGATGAAAGACTTCTAATTAGTGCTGACTAAGATCATCTGAAATTGTAACTTATGGGTGGACACTGATGTGGTTTGGTCACATATCTTCCCACGTCACACCAGTGAGAAAGAATGACATCCCTGGTAAGCTCAAAAGCAGTGTTCCTGGATTTCAGTCACTGATTACAATTTTCACAGTGTTTTCAATACTCAAGTACAATATGTTCTATAATTTATTTAACATTTCTCATTTACTCAACTTTAAAAAATGCTTTTAAAATAGTTTTACATTTACAAAAATTTTATGAAGATAGTGCAGAGATTTTCTATATACCCTACACCTGATTTCCCTTATGATTATCTTACTCTGGTATTGTATACTTGGCATAATTAATGAACCAATCATGATACATTATTATTAATTAAAGTCCATACTTTATTCAGATTTCCTTAGTTTTTACCTAATGTCCTTTTTCTTTTTTTCTGTTTCTTGATCCCATTTAGGATACCACATTAAATTTAGTTGTCATATTATAATTGGGTCCTAACCCAGACCTATTCTTTTTTATAACTTATTTATTTTATTTATTTATTTTTGGCTGCGTTGGGTCTTCGTTGCTGCATGCAGGCTTTCTCTCGGTGCGACGAGTGGGGGCTACTCTTCGTTGCGGTGCCCGGGCTTCTCATTGCGGTGGCATCTCTAGTTACACAGCACAGGCTCTAGGCGCACGGGCTTCGGTAGTTGTGGCATATGGGCTCTAGAGCACTGGCTCAGTAGTTGTGGCGCATGGGCTTAGTTGCTCCATGGCATGTGGGATCTTCCTGGACCAGGGCTCAAACCCACGTCCCCTGCATTGGCAGGCAGATTCTTAACCACTGAGCCACCAGGGAAACCCCTAACCCGGACCTACTGGACAGTGAACTGATGCAAAATGATGATACTCTGGCTAAGGCTACTGCTGCGAGTGTTAAAGCTCTTTGTCTCTGACCCAGGAGTCTCATGTCTGCTGCTAGCCTTGAGAAAATGTTGACAGGCTAACTTGTTAGCTTCTGAGCAGGGTAAGCTATGAGACCTCTTACAGTTCTTGACAACCTGTGTGTTATACAATTGAGGTGCTCAAAAGGGTATGGAATATATTAAATTTATAAATATCTAAAATCATTCAATTAAATTGTAAAAGTCCTCTTAAAAGTGATTGCTAAAAGTTGCCAGATTTATAAACAGGAGTAATGAGGTTTATGAGTTGAACTTAAAAACAAAGAATAACAAAGGATTTGAATTTGCAGTTTTCATAAATCAAGAATTAACTAAAAACAATCCCAATATCCCCTGAATAATTTTTTCTGGCAAAAAAAGCCATTGCTAAGGATGCCATAAACCTCATATAAATAATCCCAAATTGTGTGATCTTGGGTTGCTGTCCTGTGAGAACCCATCCTAGAAATGAATTTACTCCATAAACACCTACCTCAACCCTATATTGAGAACTCTTTCTAAAATTCCTTCTCATCAAAGTGGGTATGTTTTTTCACATTCCCAATTTCACTCCCTCTCTCCTTTTAAAGAAAACCTGGGGCGGGAATTCTGGACGTGACCACTATCCAAGGAGAGCAAACAATGCCTAGGAAGTGACACTCAGTTGGAGGAAGAAACAATTACTCCAGAATAGCTCTGCTCAGAATTGCCCAAGACCTTATCTCTGCTTATCTCCATCGTTGGGTTTCTGTAAAGAATGGCTCACTCTCTCACACTAACCTGTGGAGGAAGATAGGCAGCAGATTGCACAAAATGATAAGAAAAGTCTCCTCCCCTGTCCTCCTCACCAACTCTCCCATGATGTCAGTGGTTCCACTCTTGCTTCATTAAATTATCTCACAAATATTAATTGAGCATCTGCTATGCACAGGTTCTGTTCTAGAGGATGAAGAGACAGCTGTGGGAACAGAACAAAACAAAGCAAAACAAAGTGACAGACCTGCCTTTACATTCTAGTGGAGGAGGGAAAGACAAACAATAAACAAGATAAACAAGTGAATGACAGTCTGTCAGGTGGTTTAAGTGCTGTGAGGGAAAATGAGGGGTAGAGAGAGTCACGGTGGGCAGCTTGCCATTTTAAATCGAATGGTGAGGGAAGCGTCACTGATAAGGCAACCTTGCAGCAAAGACCTAGTGTAGGTGAGGGTGCTAGCCTATGGACTGCTGGCACAGCTTTCCAGGAAGCAGCTGGTAGAGAGGCCCTCAGGCCAGAACGTTTGCATTTGAGTGCCAAGCAGCAGGGTCAGTGTGCTGGAACAAAGTGAGAGTGGTCAGAATTAGGGACTGAGGTCGGAGAGATTAGGAGAAAAGGAGTCAGATCATCCAGGGCCTTGGAGGCCATGGGAAGAACTTTGGTTTTTTACCTTTATGAGATGGGGAGCCATTGGAGGGTTAGGAGCAGAAGAGTGACATGATCTGATTTATGTTCAAAGCATCACCCGGCTACCCTGCTGAGACCAGACTAGAATGAGGCAAGAGCAGAGAGGGAGACCAGCCAGGTGTCTCTAGAAATCATCCAGATGAGAAACGGTGTTGGCCTGGAATAAGGTAGGTGTGAGAAAAGTTATATTTTGAAGTTTAGAGCCAGTAGAATTTATTGACAGATTGAATATAGGATGTGACTGAAAGGGAGGAAACAGAGATGGCCCCAAAGCTTTTGGCCTGAGAACCTGTAAGAGTGGAATTGCCATTTGATCATAGGGCAAGATCAAGGAATGCCTGAAGTCCTGCTCAACACTGTTTGCTCTTTTCTGGTTGGAACTTAGTGTAGGTCTAAGAAGTCTAACTAGGATTTCATCTGACAGAATTTACAAGTCTATCCTTTAAAAAACCCAAGTAACAGATATGTCAAAATACAAAGCAAAAAAATTAAAAGATTTATTGAAATAGTACAGTATAGTCCTAACCCAATGAAGAATGTAACAGTTATCATTTTTTACAAAGTATTTTACTCTTGCCTAAGCATGACTAAGTAACTTGTCTAAGCATGAAAGCAAAAACAAAGTACAACAAACATAAAATAAAACTTGATGCTACCTAATAACTTTCATGAGGCAGCCATAACTGTTTTTAGATCAGTCTTCAGGAGTATTGAATTTCAAAAACTTAAATGCTGTTGGCCACACACAATCCTTACTCTATACCCATCCCATTGCTCTTAATTCCCCCTCAAAAGGACAGCAAGCAAAAAAAAAAAAAAAAAAAAACAACAACAACAACAAAAAAGCAAACCGTAATTCAAAAACATAGATTAAAGTAATTTTTATCTTGAGATGTGTGCTCAAATTCATTTTTTTTGACCACATGCGAAAGCAGTGAAAATAATTCTCTAGCTCTTTCTCTGTCTCTTACTTTCTCCCTCCACACATTTCTGAATTTTTAATCAGTTTATTATTGTGTGTAATTGTATATAACCAGAAACAATATATTTTTGTCACATTTTGTAGCAATGTTCATGAGGAATCGTACAAATGTTCTCCAATTCATAGCTCTTCACAGAAAAAGACAGCCTTAAACACTGAGCCCAAGGTGAGGAAGGTAGCCTTCTGTTGCTACCTGGAGCCCGAGCCCATAGACCTTCACTTGTTGCGGGCTGGAGCTGCTAGGAGATTGTTGGTGGGTTTTAACTGGCTCTACAATCTCTGCCAGCACTAGCCCCTCTCCCCAATAAACCTACCACCCATGCTATGCTTTCAGCTGCAAGTCAACTTCTTTACCTGGTCCCCAACCATACCCTATGTCCCCAACCAAACTGTCATTCAAAAGATCCTTGTATATAGAGATTATGAAGATGCCACTGGCAAGGGACACTTCACCAGGAGGATTGAGTAATGAGTGTGGTATAAATTAGAGTTAAACGTTCTTTTTTACTTTGTCGCTGAAAAATCTTATACCTGACTTTGAGAATAAAGATACATTCTTCTCAGGCAATATTAAAAAACAAACAAAAACAGAAAAGAAAACCTTAATGTGAGTATGTGTTAAATGAAGGAAATTGTACTGAGTAGGCATCCTTTGGTATTTAGATGTTATTGCTGATAAACTTAACCTAGATATTAATCCAGAGATCATGAGAGGCTTTTTTTCAAATATTATTCTTATTTACATAGAACAGAATTTAAAAGAAAATATTGGTTCATTAAGTAAGAATATTATATAATAGAAAATGAATGTATGGAAAGTATATTCATATAAAATAGAAATGTATGGGAAAATGCTCATTCACATAAAAATTCCACTTATGTGAAAGTTGAAATATCTATGTCAAGTTAACTGTCAATAGATAGTGAAAAAGGATTGCATCAGGATTGCTTGTCTGTGATGCTATTTTAAAAAATTCATTCAACATTTAAAAACATGCCTACTGCTCCTTGGTTCTTTAATTTTTACTTAGCTGACTTAGAAGAATGGAGATTATGTTAGAGATGTTACAGTCAGAAATAAAGTTCTGTATTTCACAGAGCCCTTTTTTTTCTGCCTCTTCTTTAAATTCTAATGTTTTTCTGTTTTTTTTGCGGAGGGGAACTGCTTAAATTTAGTTTACAGATAAAATATAAAGGAAGAAAGAATGATTAAACAAAGAGGTGAAGTATAACGGTGAACATTGCATTAAGAATATATAAAAACTAACTAGCACAACATTGTAAATCAACTATATTTCAGAAAAAAATATATATATATAAACAACTTTCAATGAGATTCTTCAAAACGAGCTGTCCTATTCTCAGAGAGTTTGGATTGCCGCTCTGCAGAGCACTTCAAGGACTTTCCACACATCTCTCTTGGCTTCTCTGACTTCTTCTGTCTAATGTGGGCTGATACATTTCAGCCACTATACAGTAACCAGTGTGAGGTGTTAGAGCTTCAATTTCAACAACTCTGTGAGCTCCTTCATATACCTTTTGCTCCTACACACAAGGGGGAAAAATGAGATGATAAATGGTTTCCAGTAAGTCATTGACTTGCTCTATTTTTGATAAAACTAAGTTGTTCATGACCAGTTTAGATGGGCTGTAGGGTTTCTTCCAAGACACATCCTCCTTCTCCAGAGTCCTAGCTCACAGGCTGAGAAAGGGACAGGTCACATGGCTGTGGAGGAACCACATGACTTCTCCCTAGTGATGCTGATTGACTGACCCAGTGGTCAGAGTCTCTTTTTTAAGAATTTGAACTGTGCAGTGAGGAGAATGGAGTAGATTTGGGGACAGTTGTAGACATGTGGCATGTGACCACAGAGAAACAGAGTGAGATTCTTTACACCTTGCTTCTCCATTTCTCCTTCCCAGTGACTGCAAAGCCTGGCAGCTCTTTATTTCTTGCTTCTGGCTGTTGTAAGATTGATCATTACCTCCGAGTAAAAATCCTCCTCTCCCCTCCACTTTTCTATTTGAACCAGTTTGAATGGGTTTCTGTTTTCTACAGCCAAAGGAACCCTGTCTTAGATGGACACCAAAACAAAGGAACAGTCACCAAACCAAAATAAAGTCGCCAATGGAGGATTATAATATCAGAGCAAAACTGGCACTAATATATAATGCTCTGATCCAAAAGCCACTTTAAAATAAGGTGTGTAAAGTCCATAAAAATGAATATTTGTGACAATCAAATGGAATTAAATATTGTTAATACCAATCCTTAGATATGCAGGGAAAATCAAAAGGAAACCAGCTGAGTGACGGAAAAGGTGCAAACACACGTACACACAATTCTGATGGCGATGGTAACCACTAATTGCTTATCAATGAGGGTGAAAGTGAGAAGGAACTAAAAAACGATAAGGAAAAATAAGAGGGGATAGAGTAGCAAAAGACAGGACTTATTTTATGGCTAAAATGTTGCTTAAACAAACAAAAAAAAAACCAAACTAATCTATTCATCTGAACTTACCTTTTCCAGTGAATTGTTAATTACAAAGACTCGGTATACTAGCCCATAGTATTCCATTGATACGTTTTTTCTTTTTTGGTCCCTGTATGGTAAGTTGGGAGCATGGAGATTCACCAACAAAGATCCATTAACTTGGGTTATATTCATGAATGGAGGATCTATTTTTGCTGAGGAAAAATAGGAAAATTTGACAATATCACCCAAAAATGTAATATTTCATATGGACACATTATGCATAATAACAAATCATTATTAAGCTCAGGGATCTGGCAAAAATCATTATGAAGAGATACTGCTAACACCTAAAGTATAGATATCTGAGAAGTTTCTTTGCAGATAATTCTTTATTTGCAAAGACATATATTCTGAAGCAGCTTTAAGAGGACTTTTATCAGTCATTTCCACAGCCTGTGGTGATTGTTTTGGAAAACGAAGTATAAAAAGTTATTTGGGTGAAGATCTTAGTGTAAGGCCAATAGTTTGTAGGTCCTTAAAGATGTAAAATTTCAAAGCAGCTTGAAAATCATTTGAAGACTTGTTGCTATAAAATTATTTCAACAGAATTATGTTATATACTATGGAATAGCAGGAGAAGGATCAAGAGAGAATTTTTGTTTCTTGTCTTTGGTATCAATAATCAGATGATCGTTAACTAGGAAAGAAAACTAAATAAATTAATAGTCACTTTAATTTCCCCCAGATTAACTATGGTAATTCTAAATGATTTAATTCGTTAATGGGTTTTGTTGTTGTTTTCTTGTTCGGCGTTCATTATGTATTTTTAGTTTGTAGATACATATCTTTTATAATTCTTGAAAACTAGCCATGGTCAATCAACTTAGAGATAGATAGAGACAGAGATATACATGCTTTTATTCTAGAATTTCAGTTCAACATCTGTTAGCATTTCTCATTCGATTTTCCATATGTCATTTTCTTTCTCCATCTTTTTTTTCTCAGTGGAGTATTCTGAAGGGTTTCTTCAGAGCTGTCTTCCAGTCCATCAGTTTACTACTTTGTCATGTCTAAACTGATCTTTAACCCCCCAAATCAACTTTTTGAATTTCAATGATTATATTTTTTTCATTTCTATGAGCTCTATTTGGGTCTTTTTCAATCTATTTGGTCTGAGTAATATTTTGTCCTTTGATTATGTTTTTATTCCCTCTGTTACTTCTTTAAGTTATTTAATTTATTATCTGCTTCCAATACTACAAAACCTTGAAGCACTGGTCCAGCCAGTACTTGTTTCTTCCAACCTTGCTTGTGTTGATCTGCTTCCTTGTGTTTTTATTGTGAACACATGTTGAAAGTTGATGCTTTCTTTTTTGTTGTTTAGTTAGAATTTTAAAATTTTAAATACACTTTTTATCAACTTATAAGATAGATACAGACAAATAAATCGTGAGGATATGGCTCAACAAATCTTTACAAATAAACACTCCTGTATAGCTACCATCCAGAACAAACAACAGGACATCACCAACACCCCAGAAACCTCCTTCACCTTTCCTCCAATTACTTAACCCCAGAGGATAACCACAATTTTCCTAACTTTTATCGCCATGTACATTCATTTTTGGAATCATACAATATACACTTTTTTGTGTGTCTGCCTTGTTTCACTCTTTCACTTTTATTTGTATATGTATAATTATGGGCTGAATTGTGCCTCTCATCAAATTCATAGGATGAAGGCCTAACACCCAGTACCTCAGAATATGACTGCATTTGGAGATAGGGTCTTTTTTAAAAAAGCATATGGCTTTTTAAAAAATGAAGTCATATGTGTGGTATGGGTGGTCCCTAATCCAATATGACTGGTGTCCTTATAAGAAGACACATACAATTGAGCACAGAGGGATGACCATGGAAGGACACAGCAAGAAAGTGGCCAAGGAGAATGGCTTCAGAAGAAACCAAACCTGTGGACACCTTGATCTTGGACTTCCAGTCTCCAGAAGTGTAGGAAAATAAATTTCTGTTGTTTAAGCCACCAAGTCTGTGGTATTTTGCTATGGTAGCCCTGGCAATCTAAAGTCTATACATCTATCCATGTTGCATGTATCAGGAGTGTGTTCTTTCGGGGCTTCCCTGGTGGCTCAGTGGTTAAGAATCCGCCTGCCAATGCAGGAGACACAGGTTCGAGCCCTGGTCCGGGAAGATCCCACATGACGCGGAGCAACTAAGCCCATGCGCCACAACTACTGAGCCTGCGTGCCACAACTACTGAAGCCTGTGCACCTAGAGCCTGTGCTCCTCAACAAGAGAAGCCACCGCAATGAGAAGCCCGCACACCACAATGAAGAGTAGTCCCACTCGTCGCAACTGGAGAAAGCCCGTGCACAGCAAAGAAGACCCAGTGCAGCCAAAAATAAGTAATAAAATAAAATAAATAAATAAATAAATAAATATATATATAAAGAATGCTATAAAAACATTTTAAAAAAAGAGTTCTTTCTTTTGATTGTTGTGTGGTATTTAATTGTAGGAATAACACAATTCATCCATTGTGTTATTCACAGACTTTTAGGTTGTTTCTAGTTTTTGGATATTCTGAGTAAAGTAGCAGGAACATTCTTGTATATGTCACTTGAGAAACATTCATTTTGTTGGGAATATAACTAAGAGTGGAATTTCTGGGTGACAGAGTTTATATATGTTTAGCTTTTGTAAATTCTGCCATTTCCCCACAGTAGATACACCAATTTATATTCCCTTCAGCAGTGTATGAAAGTTCCCATTTTTTTCACATTCTCTCTAATACTTGGCATTATTATTTTTAAAAAGTTTAATTTTGGCCATTCTGGTAAGTGTGTAGTACCAATTTATTGTGTTTTTAAGTTGCATTTCCCTGATGACTAATGGAATTTCATAAGTTCATTGGCCACTTGAATATTCCCTTTTGTGAAAAGCCTGTTCAAGTCTTTGCCCATTTTTTAAATTAGTTGTCTTGTCTTTTTATTATTGATTTGTAAAAGTTCTTTGTACATTCTGGACATAGTCCTTTGTCCCAAACATGCACTGTGAATATTTTCTCTCTATGGCTTGCATTTTCAACAGGGTGCCAAGATCATTCAATGGGTAGAGAATACCTTTTCAACAAATGATGCTGGGACATATGTATAGCCATATACAAAAGAATGAAGTTGGACCCTTACCTCACATCATATATAAAAATGAACTCAAAATTGATCAAAGATTTAAATGTAAGAGCCAAAACTATAAAACTCATAGAAGAAAGCTTAGGATAAATCTTCATAGCCTTGGGTTTGGCAAAGAATTCTTAGATATGACCCCAAAAGCATGAGTAGCAAGAGAAAAAATAGGTAGATTGGACTTCACCAAAGTTAAATACTTTGGGGCTTCAAATGGCACCACCGAGAAAGTGAAAAGACAAATCACAGAATGGGAGAAAATATTTGAAAATCATATATCTGATAAGGTAATGGTGTCCATAATATACAAAAAACTTAAAACTCAGTAATTAAAAGACAAATCATTCAATTTAAAAATGGGCAAAGTATCTGAACGGACAATTTTCCAAGGGAGATATGCAAATGGCCAATAAACACATGAAAGGATGCTCGACATCACTAATCATCAGGGAAATGCAAAGCAAAATCACATGAGATACCATTTCACATGCACTAGGATTGTTATAATCAAAAGGTGACATAGTGGCGCTAAGGATGTGGGGAAATAGGAACCCTCATACACTGCTGATGGGAATGGAAAATGGTGCAGCTGCTTTGGAAAACAGTCTGGTAGTTTCTCAAATGATTAAACATACAGTTACAGGGTGACCGAGTGATTCCACTCCTAGGTATATACCCAAGAGAAATAAAAACATGTCTACAAAAAAACTTGTACATGAACATTTATAGGAGCTCTATTCACAGGAGCTAAAATGTGGAAACAACTCAAATATCCATCAACTGAGGAATGGATAAACAAAATGCAGTATATCCGTGTACTGCAATATTATTCAGCCACAAGAAGGAACGAAGCACTGATACATGCTACAAAATGGACAAACCTTGAAAACATTATGCTAAATGAAAGGAGCCAGTCACAAAACATCACATATTATATGATTCTATTCATATGAAATATCAAGGTGAGGGAACTCTTTAGAGACAGAAAGTAGATTAGTGGTCACCTAGGGCTGAGAGGCTAAAGGAGGGAGAGAATAGGAGGGTGATAGCCAAAGAGTATGGAGTTTCTCTTTTGTGGTGATGAAAATGTTCTAAAATTGACTATGGGTGATGGTTGTACTTATCTGTGAATAGAGTAAAAAATTATTGAATTGTACACATTATATGAGTAATCGTAAGGGATGTGAATTTTATCTCAATAAAGCTGTTTAATAAATCTAGGTGGAGGCAATGCCCATACACTTGATCCTTAATTCTTCTGGGTTATAACAACAATATTTTCAAAGAATTGGAAGTTGAGGCTGCCTCCTGAAGGTTGGGATCTCTTTATGCCATTTAACCAACAAGGAGGAAATGCGGTACTTCTGTTGTCTAGGGTGACTGGTTCCAATTATCAAAGGGAAATAGAATTATATATACAGCGGGGTCAAGTATGCTTGGTATCCTTGGAGGTGCCTCTTAGATCTCCTATATTCAGTGATAAAAATTAATTTAAGGCTATGTTAAGCTAATATGAAAAAGATCAAAAGGACTCAAACTCCTCAAAAATGGAAAGTTGAGATGCTGGCTGAAAAGAAAGAGAACGTTGAGTTAAATCATGAGAAAAGCAGTTATAAATATTAACTACAGCTTCATGACTAGTTGCCATTGTGAGGACTGTAGTAAATACCCATATTTTCTGTCTTGTTATGCATATCTTTGTACATATACATTAAACTTTTTTTCTCATACCCTTTGTCTATTTTTTTTTTTTTTTTGCGGTACGCAGGCCTCTCACTGTTGTGGTCTCTCCCGTTGCGGAGCACAGGCTCCGGGTGCGCAGGCTCAGCAGCCATGGCTCACGGGCCCAGCTGCTCCGTGGCATGTGGGATCTTCCCAGACCGGGGCACAAACCCATGTCCCCTGCCTCGGCAGGTGGACTCCCAACCACTGCGCCACCAGGGAAGCCCCTTATATAAGGTCTGCTGGCAATGGCTCCATTTATAATTTACATCATAGATTATAGTATATTATTCTGACATTATGACTAAATTAGAAGAATATACATCATTGAGAAATGGATACAAGAGAGCACTTTTTGTCTCCTCTTTTGGACAGGTGACTAAAAGTCTTAATTTCCTCAATAGAAAATTTTTCTAATGTGTATTTTCAAGAACTTCACCGTCATGCTTAGGAATAACCCCATATGGCTCCTTTTCTGCTATCTAAAAATACTTCTTTTTTCTAGCAGGCAACACCCTGGCAGTGGGATAGAATGTCAGCTCTGAATCAGAGGCAGCCAAATTTGAATTCTGAGACCTGGGCTACTACTAAAGTTTCTGTGCCCTGACTTCCTGGGCTGTAAATGAGAATAGTAAAAGCCATCTGCTAGAGCTGTTCTGAGAATGACATCAAGTGAGACGATGGTGTGGACCTCACCAAAGCACAGGGCCTGGTAGCTAGCTAACCATGCTCCATGAGGGCTATTCAAGGGCAGGAAAAGCAAATGCAAAGAAACTCCATGGAACTCACTTTCCCACCAGGGAGAGAACCGCTGTGTCATGGTCCAGCCTGAGTGGACCCCAGCCAGGGTCGTCCTCACTCTCCCGTAGTAAGGTTCCCATATGTCTGACGTTTCATTGGTAAGGTCACAGAAGAACTCTCGAATACCCCAGCAGTCCTCTTTATTTTTCCATTGTCTCTGTCCATACCTATAGAAGGGAAAAGACAAAAATCTGCATTCCTTTATTCCACTGAAGGAGTCTTCAGTTTTTTCAGTCTATTCAGTTTTCAGACTGGCTGAAATTTGTCCTCCAATATCAGCACCACTGTGAAAGCTGACAGCTGTTCTTAAGTATCTTTAAAAGTTTTAAATTAATTTAAGTGCTTTCAAAGTGCTATCTCGTTGAAATATAAACTCAAGCTTGATACCTTCTGTAACACTAGCATGAGGGTTTTTGGATTTTTAGTACTTAGTGAAGTTTTTCTTCTGGGGTCTGAACCAACTTCCATTTTTGACTACGAGCTCTCCATGTCCTTCAGGCTCCTGAGGTTTCAACACTTGTGGTTTTCCTCACTTCTTATCAGCTTGCTGTTGAGTAACGTGGCTGATTCTGACAAGTTGCTACCACTTTTCATCTCAGGTGACACTTACCCAACACATAACATCAATCTCTTATTTGACAACTGAACAAGGTTGTAGGAAGGGCTCTTTAAGGGGTTTTGTAATTAGAGGCTGGGAGAGAATGGGGAGAACCCAGGAAGAAAAGGTAATGAGGCAAAGCGCCAGATACATGGATTCAGCCTAAGACTGTGGGATGGTGTAACAGCAAAAGGGAGGATTAATGCTTCCTTTCCTTACCAGTCACAAATCAAAGAAAATGCAATAAGATGATGGTGGGAACAGAGCAGGAATTAGAGGCTGGGGAGAAAGCTTCCAAAATATTTGTTGAAGGACTTGAAATATAACTTTTTAGCCATATAATGAAGAGCATTGCTGATGTCTGTACTCTGTAAACTATATGCTGACAGCAGTTTCATTATATCAGAAGACACCATAAGAGCAGAACCAACAACATATATTAAGCACAATTTAATGTTTTCTAACTCTTATTAGACATTGCCTTTGCTAGCTGAATTTAGCTGTAATGACTGGCTTCTTTTTTAGTGTAATACTTCATTTTTTGTCCTATCCTAAATGGGACAAAAACTGTCAGTAGACCCATGAGAACTGGATAGACCCAAAACGAAAAATTTTGAAAACATAAATCTGCATTGTGCTATTGAAAATATCACATAGGTAGGAATGGATCCAGGTATTCTGAAATTTATACAAATTTAAGAGCTCTATTTAGGAAAAAGAATTACAACTATGAAATTTTTCCATGGGGCCCTAAAGTTTAATCTTCATTAATTTCATGGAAAAACAACGTCTAATCCACTGTTTATGTTGAACCATAAATAGGCCCACTTTGGATATGTTTATACTGCCTACAGGGGAAATATAAAAAGATCACCAATCCCCACTTCCTACAGGGAAGCATTTCCAACGACGCACAAATCTGTTTCTGGAGTGGAGAAATCTTTATTGTAAAGATTTGTGAAGTTTACAGTTGCTACACAAAATATGTTGAGAAAAGCAGCAGTTAAAGACTGAGAAACTTCTGGAAATAGTCCTTTGAAGTTAGTGAGAGCTTGATAAATGGAAAAATCTGACTTTGGATCTACCCCATGCTGGAGAGACATGAAGGAATTTATGGCACAAAAATTGCTACTTTGGTCCATAGCTACAACTAATCTTCTGAATTTCTGAATAGAAAATCATAAAAGCTAAACTATAATATCTCCTGTCTCATGTTCAGCCAGAATCTCAATCTATGTAAGAGAAGGAAGAGCTTCAACTCCTATCTGCATACTCCCACCCCCAGCCCCCTGAACAGAGATGTGTGAAGGGGAAAACCTGCCATTTGCAAATCAGGAGCTTCTGTTTCCAGGCCTCAATCCAGGAAAGGAGTGGATTATATCTGAATTTTGGCAACGATCCACTAGAATTTGTCTGAAGATCACACAGGAGGAACATGCCTCAGCGTGTTCCAATTTGCATTCATGCTTACAGGAGGTGTTTATTTTTGAAAAGAATTTTCTAAATAGTAAACCCACTCTAAAGAAATGACCTTCAAATTGAAAATGTAGTTTACACACTCATATCCATGTGTCCCACAACTTCTTTTTCAACTATCAATAGCGTCAATTTAATTGACGACCTATTAGGTGCTAAACAAGTCGCTTCTAACATTCAGTGGACAAATGTGTATTGAGAGTCTCTGTTGTGAAGCCAAAGGCTGACCCTGTGAAGTCTCAGCGCTGGGTCTCTGAGGGATGAAGTATCTCCCGTCACAGACTACACGTCATCATGCATTTTGTGTCACCTTCAGGGAAGACACACTCCTGCCCCCACCTCTGCTTCTTCTCAACCCTTCTGAAACTGACAAAAGTTCAGATCCTAACACTCCATCGCCTTCTAGAACATGGAATCTTAGTGGCCATCTCTACTAGCTGGAGGAAGCTCAGATTACTTACGTTTTATACTGCACAAAATAGATACTGCTGTTGCCGGCACAAGCCCGCCCAGGCTGCCAGTGCAAAATGTTGTGAAAATTTTGGGACTGAAAATGTACTCGTTGAGGTTTCAGAGACTCGTGGGCTGGCTGAGTTTCTAAAACAATAAGAAACAGAGCAACACTGAACACTGATATGAGCATCATCGTTATTAGCCATAATTTTCAATGTAATAATACCTGCATCAGGATTCCTTGAAATAGTTGCTACAGGTGCAGATGGTGGAAGTGGAGCCCAGAAATCAACATTTTTGATCTTTGATGTGATGATTTTGATGCATGCTAAAGTGTCAGGACAGTTGTGATCCAGACTATAAAAACATACGTGATAAACTCCCACCCCACTCCTAAGCTGGAGAGGAAGTAACAGCAGTGAAAAGATAGTATTGTCCTTAATTCCAGCCCTGGTGGTGATGGAACGTAATGACTGAGATGAAGGCCACTTTGCCCACCTTCCTAGGAGACCCGGCGTTACTGCTCCTCTGAGGCAAGCTTTCGCCTGGATTCTGTTCTGCCTCCAGGACCTCAGCCTGGAACTCATTCCTCCTTTCTCTGGTTCTTGCTTCATCTCTTCTTCCTACTTCATTGTCCTCCACCTCTCTCAGCTGACCTGGCTTTATTGCATGTAGGCGGGTTCCACTCCTGAGTGGATGCTCTTACCTGCCTGCATCCTGGTTCCAAGTGCCCGAGCATAACTGCTCAGGTGGAATGGTCCGGGCTGTGGAGGGAAACTGCCCAAGGGCTTGCCATGGAACCCAGCATTCCCGAGAAGAGTCTCGACAGGAGTCACGGCAGGAAGGGGGATAATTTCGCACTGGCGTAGTTTGTGCTTTCTTGGTCAATTCATGCGACATGAGAGCTCAATCTCACCTACATTCAGTCCACTGGAGGCAAGAGACCTTTGACAAAATTTTATTCTAGGGTCTGAAGGAAACCAGAATATATTGCCCCCAAATGTGTCTCTTTGACATAAAAATTATTTTGAGCTGAAGGCCATTAAGAAGCAGCAAATGCAGGAAAAGCTCTCTTGACCTCCCCCTTTTTCCGCCTAAAGGCAGGATATATAAGGCTGGCCAAAAATTTCGTTCGGGTTTTTGGTAGGCTCTCGCGGAAAGACCCGAACGAACTTTTTGGCCAACCCAATAAAGTCTCCTTCTACTTTACTGGAGGCAGGTTCTTATCAGCCCAAAGAAGGCACCAGAAGAATCTGCAAATGAAACTTACTCCATTAGTTTTCTCCCACGTATTTACTTTCCCACAGTTTCCTCCCTTGGAAGACTAAAACTGCTTTCCCCTGTCCTGTCATGTTCCTACAGGTGTATCGTGCTTAGCTGAAGGTGCCACAGAAACTGGAATTCTAAGCCGCCAGTTTGAGTGTCTCTTCATACAGGACCCCCCGGTGTTGAGAGCTGCACGCATGAATAAACTGTTTTATGAATCTGCCTTTTTGTTAAGGAGTCCTAGCCGACTTTTTTATTGAACAAATTTGACATGTAACGTTGTGTAAGTTAAGAAAAAAAAAAAAAAAAAAGAGTCCCAGCTGAAAACCTAACATGGACAGAGGTAAAGCTTTGCCTCTCTAATAGGCCCAAAGTTTCTGCTAAGCGATAGGTGGTGGGCAGGAGAAGTGAGGAAGCACATCCCCTGTCTTTTTCTCGTCTTCTACCACTTGCCCCCTGGTTTCTCCAGAGTGACCTCCTTCCTCCTGGTCCACCATGCTTGGAATGGCCCCATCTGAGGTCTCTGCCGTGGCCCTTCCATTTTCCTAGAATACCCTTCCCAGGTTTTCCACATGCCTCATTTCTTCATCTCCTTTAGGTCTTTGCTCAAATATCATTAAGATGGAAGCAAATTCTCCTAAGCCCATGGTCTCAGCTCTGAACATTCAAGATGTGTTATTTTCCAATGAATGGGGCTGTTTCCTTAGGTAGTTATTTTTACCAACCAAATAGTGTCATACTGTTATTTGGTTTTTGTTTTTTTTATTTTTATTTTTGGACCTCCTTCAGTGCATCAAGTGGTGATGTGTACTTGGAAAGAGTCAAATGCCACCATTGGTTTTGTTCACCCAGATCACTACCCGATCAATCGTATTTAGCACATAAAATTGTACTTAGCAGAAGTTTTCAGGAGGTGACAAGCATGCACAGTTTCCGGAAGATCCTTCCTAGAGTCGATTTTCTATCCTGAACATAGATAGTCCAGTGTCCTTTACCTCGTCTGTCTTCAGATTTCTTCTCTCATTTTTGTAACACCACTGCTAACCTCCATCAAAGAAAATAGCAATCCCTCTGTAGCAGACACAGAGGGGATTTTACTTGTCTTCACTGAGTCTGCCCAGCTCATCTGTGCAAAAGGTATTATTGCGGTCTTCCTCTTACAGACCAAAATCCAAGCCTTGGAGAAGTAAAAGAGCTGGTGCAGCTGCAGACGGTGGGGCTGATTTTGTAACCAGCCTGTCTGGCCCTGGAGCCTGCCTCTCACCCGTCACAGCAAATCAACAGAAGAGCCTCAGGAGAGAGGAGCTAATGGAGGAAGCAGAGCAACGAGAGGCTGAAGATATTCCTTCTTCTTTCCCTCTGCCTCCTCCGGCCTTCATTCATGAAGGCCGGCCTTCATTCATCACTGAACGTATTTGAACCTTAAATGTATATCAGGCCCTGTGCTCAAAGCTTTACATCTTCTTTCATTCTCACAACCACCCAATAAGGTAGGTATTTTTATTAGTACATTTTACACGTGGGGAAGCTGAGGTCTAAAGAAGCTGTGTATCTTGCCCATATGGTTACAGGTCTGGTAAGATGCAGAGCCGAGGTCATTTGGGTACCACTTGAATTCCTGCCGTATTCTGCTAATTGAGTTCTTGGTCTGACCAAAGACCAAAGTCATAGTCTACTCAGATCCACACATTTCTGGGAAATGGAGGATTGAATTGTTTTTATGTTATCAGTCACTGGGCAACTGTACAGTCTTGTGAAAGTTACTTGAGACACTTATACTGAGAGGTACCCATCTGTTAACTGGGGGTCCTAATGACCTTGCTCAGAGGTATGTTGGGATGATAAGATGCCCTCTGCTCTTGAAGAGTTCTCCATAAATACCAACAGCAAATTCTCACATGTTGTTTATTTATGGTCTATTCTGTGCTAGACACTGCTCTAAGCACTTGTCATGTATTAGCTCATTTAATCCTCACAGTGACCTACAATCCCCACCTTACAGATGAAGTAATTGAGGCAGAGGGGCTTTAAGCTAATTGCCCCAGTTTTTCTAGATAATAAAATGGCAGAGTTGAAGTCCAGATTCAGGCAGTCTGGCTTAGGAGCTATGCTGGTAACCAGTATGCTATCTTGTCCTTGAAGGCGAAAGAAAGGCTAAGGAGACAGAGAGGGGTGTGTGTTTGTCCTGTGTGAAGTTTTTGCACCCACAAGAGCGCCTCCTCTTTAGTAGCTACTCGTGAAGTCCGCATGCAGTTATTCAGGCTGCAGAGAGAAATAGACCCCATGTCTGTCCAGACCAGTTAGTGACAGGAGAAAGCTGAAATTTTTACAAAGCCCAGAAATGCACCACGGCCATGTCTAACAGTCCCCTTGAGCAGACTCAGATGACAAAGCTGTGAGCAATTAAAAAGAAATGAAGCACTTACCTACCACACCAGGCAGGAGGACACCGCTGAGGAAGCCTAGAAAATAACATTTAGGTGTCATGGTTGCGAGTGTGACTGGTCAGGCGACCAGCGTTCCCCTCAAGGGGAGGACAGCTCTGGACAGGAGAGGAAACTCGAATCGTCCCACTCAACATCCCCTTTTGGTTGTAACCATGGTTCTTGAAGCAAATACAATTTCATTTTGTTCATAAATTATATTGTATTATAATTTGGGGGTAATAAGTATTAAGAATCATTTCAGAAAACATTTGCTGTTAAGTCACTTTGATGTGGACGCTTGTTTTTTTGAGAGCTTTGCTAGCTGAGAAAAGGCAAAACACTGAGGATGGGTGGCCCGGAGGGCAGGTAGGGTGAGGAATTATGCAAGATGCTCGCAGATGAGTGAAGGAGGCCTTCGGGGATTCTGGCAGAGAGGGCAGAGGGGCTGCCAGGGTGATTCTGAGTAAAGGGCTTGGCAGTTGCAATGATCAGGGCCTCTGGCAGTGGTTCAAGCAGGTGGGGTCTCTGGTTGATTCTTCCTTTTCTTGCTTTCATGGAAGCTCCTCGAGTAACCTCCCTGGTGTAGACCTCATACCCTCTGCCCCCTCAGCCTCTCTGCAGGGCTCCCTCCCGCACGCCACAGCCGCCCCGGTCAATGGGCCCCACTCAGCTCATGCCTCTTCCTTTTCCATTCCTGCCCTCGGTTTCCAGCAACCTAGCTGATAAAGATTTTGAGCCCGTCAAACCAAGTAATTCCTTAAAAGGATGAATGCGGGGGCAATGTTCATTTTGAACTACATTAAATCTTTGTCCTATCTTCTTTTCTAATCAAACTAGGTCATCTGTTCTTTGCCCATGATTCACTACGTCAGTTTTATTACCAAAAAAATTTTTTTGTACCACATGATTTTAAAGACACTAAAATTATACATTAAAGCACAAGAAAGTCATAAAGATTGTTTTAAAGGGGCTTTTCGGGTCAAAAGAAGAAATATATGCTGGTTTCTTTTTCCTCTTGGGTAGTCAAACTTTCAAGTTCTTGGTAGAATAGCCCCTTTAGTAAGGAACAGTGATGGTTGCTGAGCAGTACTAATTAATCAATAATTATTTAAGTATTAATTAAGTCAAGAACATATATTTGCCACCCTACCACGTGCTAGGCATTCTTCTCAGCAGCAAGGATGCAGCAGCAAATAAAATAGACATTGCCCTACCCACCCAAACCAGACTTCTAAAGGGGGAAGTAGACATACTTCCCCAGCAGGATGGAGGGCGTTTCCCAGTGCCGTTGTGCTGGGTCAGACTTCTGAATCCAAACTCCTTATCTCCTCCAGGTGAAGTTTCCATTGCTTCTAAGCTGGCTTAGGCTTTCAAAGAAGAAACAAGCAGCCTATCTTAGGTGCCCTTTGCCCCTTCTGGGGACTCCTTGTCTCCTAGCCTCCTCAGCATCGTCCTTCATCTCCTTGCTCATGTTAGCCACTGAACTCTAGACTTTTCATTCACCTTGGTTTTAAATGGGGAATAGAAATCTGGGTTTGAACTATCGATGTTCAATATCTTTAATGCCAAGAGCTTATGTTTTGGAGCAACCAAATTGCTTCAAATTCCAGTTAAGAAAAAAAAGAAAATATCTTAATTTAAGGTTTAATAAGTAGCAGTAGAGAAGGAAATTGGGGTTTCCACTGGGTTCCTGATGTTGTAGAACAAATAAGGGGAAATGGGGGAAAGAGAGCAGAGCATCAGATATTCTAAGAACTGAATTCTCTCAGAGATGTGTGAGCTTCTGTGCTATGTTAAATTTCAGAAACCAGGGACTTCCCTGGTGATTCAGTGGTTAGGACTTCACCTTCCAATGCACGGGATGAGGCTTCAACCTCTGCTCAGGGAGCTAGGATCCCACATGTCTCGGGGCCAAAAAAACAAAACATAAAACAGAAGCAATATTGTAACAAAATTCAATAAATAGTTTAAACAATGGTCCACATCAAAAAATCTTTAAAAAATAATTTCAGAAAGTAGACTAGTCTTGTCACCCTTAGATGAGCTCACTGTGTGATATCAGAGTGCATAAAAGCCACACTACCAACTGTGACCCAAGGTAATGAAAAGATACAATTCAATTCTAAAATCTCACCAATTTGGAAGCAGAGGAATTTGTACAGAATTGTTTCAAATGAAATGAGATTTGTTTTGGGAAGTAAGAAAATT